CCAGACAAAGTATCACCGTGGATACTTAAAGAGGCAGCGCAGGCTCTCAGCGTGCCTCTGGCAATGATCTTCAATGAGTCACTTATGTCGGGAGAATTGCCCAGTTGCTGGAAGAAGGCAAATGTCGTACCGATTTTCAAGAAGGGGGATAGGGAGGAGGCACTTAACTACAGACCCGTATCACTGACAAGCATCCCCTGCAAAATACTTGAAAGAATAATTAGGCTAAGACTTGTTGAGCACCTGGAGAGCATTGGGTTTGTAAACAAGCACCAACATGGGTTCTGGACAGGGAAATCATGCCTAACAAACCTTTTAGAATTCTATGATAAAGTAACAAGGATAAGGCAGGACAGAGAAGGCTGGGCAGACTGCATATTTCTTGACTGCCAAAAGGCCTTTGATACGGTACCGCACATGAGACTGCTATACAAACTTGAGAGGCAGGCAGGAGTAAGCGGAAAGGCCCTAGTATGGGTGAAGAACTACCTAACAGGAAGGAGCCAGAGGGTAATGGTAAGGGGCGAAAAGTCGGACTGGCGAACAGTAACAAGTGGAGTACCTCAAGGATCGGTGCTGGGACCAATCCTCTTTCTAATTTACGTAAATGATATGTTTACAGGAGTGGAGTCATACATGTCAATGTTTGCAGATGACGCAAAATTAATGAGAAGAGTTGTGACAGACGAGGATTGTAGGATCCTCCAAGAGGACTTAAACAGGCTGCAGAGATGGTCAGAGAAATGGCTACTGGAGTTTAACACCAGTAAATGTAAAGTTATGGAAATGGGATCAGGTGACAGGAGACCAAAGGGACAGTACACAATGAAGGGGAATAGCCTACCTGTAACGATTCGAGAAAGAGACCTGGGAGTGGATGTGACACCTAATCTAACTCCTGAGGCACATATAAATAGGATAACGACAGCAGCGTACTCTACACTGGCGAAAATTAGAACTTCATTCAGAAACCTAAATGAGGAAGCTTTTAGGGCGCTTTACACTGCCTACGTGAGACCCGTCTTAGAGTATGCCGCGCCATCATGGAGCCCCCACCTGAAGAAACACATAAAGAAACTGGAGAAGGTTCAGAGGTTTGCGACGAGGCTTGTCCCAGAGCTACGAGGGATGGGATATGAAGAGCGGCTGAAGGAACTGAACCTTACGACACTAGAGAAAAGAAGGGAGAGAGGAGATATGATAGGGACATATAAAATACTCAGGGGAATTGACAAAGTGGAAATAGATCAAATGTTCACACGTAATAATAACAGAACGAGGGGACATGGGTGGAAACTGGAAACTCAGATGAGTCACAGAGATGTTAGGAAGTTTTCTTTTAGCGTGAGAGTAGTAGAAAAATGGAATGCACTTGGGGAACAGGTTGTGGAAGCAAATACTATTCATACTTTTAAAACTAGGTATGATAGGGAAATGGGACAGGAGTCATTGCTGTAAACAACCGATAGCTAGAAAGGCGGGATCCAAGAGTCAATGCTCGATCCTGCAAGCACATATAGGTGAGTACATATAGGTGAGTACACACACACACACACACACACACATACACACACACACACACACACACACACACACACGCACACACGCACACACACACACACACACACACACACACACACACACACACACACACACACACACACACACACACACACACACACACACACACACACACACACACACACACACACACACACACACACACACACACACACACACACACACACGCACACACACACACACACACACACACACACACACACACACACACACACACATACACACACACACATACACACACACACACACACACACACACACACACACACACACACACACACACACACACACACAGTAATGAAAAACGATAAATCCGAGCGAATTCACGTAATAACACATTCGCACAGAACACGCGTTGTATTCCCTGAAAATGTGTTAAATTCGCGAAAGCGCTCGGATATAACGTCTATTTTATCGACGTGGATACGTAAACACCACCACGTGGTTAACTCATGTTTGTAAACAAACCACAAGATCAGCTGGCGTTGAACTCGGGTTTTCTCCTTTATCAACAAGATATTAAAATATAGAGTAATCACACTAACGTGACTGCATCAATGAGAAAACCTGTAGATGCAGTGATGAGGGTTTGAACCTACGCGAAGGGTGTTCCCAAGCACACGCTTCTAGCCACTAAATCACGACATGGTAAAAAGATTGCAACCTTGTGGAGTTCTTGGACTGCAACCAATCTCCAAAAAAGATTGCAATCTGGAGAAGCCTCAGGAAATCCTTGTGTGCTCAGTAGAATTCAAGGTTGCAATGATTGTTACCATGTCTAGTTGCTAGATCCATGAGAATAGGTGAAGCCCCCAGCGAATAGGTTCGAATTGTCGGTCGGGAATTGAACCCGGACCTGCATGAAGCGAGACCGTCGCTCTACCGTCCAGCCCAAGTGCTTGCTAGACCAAACATTCAATACAACTGAAATTAATTTGTCAATGAATTTTTTGTGATTCGCTTGGAAAAAAAAAAACATTTGTAATTTTATTTGTAAACATTATTTTACAAACACTATTATCCAGAATAAAATGAACAAGTTAATGGGATTATTGTATGTTTTGAAATACAATATTTTGGGTAGCTGCTCTTGAAATAATTAACCTCGTTAATTATGAATCGCAGCTCGTTAATTCGTACACAATTAGTGTAGACTTTTGGGAATAACGAGTACAGGTGTAGAGAGACTTGCTTTTGTGCACATACAATGGTACCTTGTTATTGTGTTGAAGGTAGTGTTGGGTAGTTACAATAGCCAGTTGTGTTGAGGGTAGTGTTGGGTAGTTACAATAGCCAGTTGTGTTGAAGGTAGTGTTGGGTAGTTACAATAGCCAGTTGTGTTGAGGGTAGTGTTGGGTAGTTACAATAGCCAGTTGTGTTGAGGGTAGTGTTGGGTAGTTACAATAGCCAGTTGTGTTGAGGGTAGTGTTGGGTAGTTACAATAGCCAGTTGTGTTGAGGGTAGTGTTGGGTAGTTACAATACCCAGTTGTGTTATGCTGAACTCTACATATATATTAACTGCAAACCTTAAGGGGGGCCAGATTCACGAAGTAGTTACGCAAGCACTTACGAACCTGTACATCTTTTTTCAATCTTTGACGGCTTTTGTTTACAATTATTAAACAGTTAATGAGCTCCGAAGCACAAGAGGCTGTTTATAACAATAACAACAGTTGATTGGCAAGTTTTCATGCTTGTAAACTGTTTAATAAATGTAACCAAAGCCGTCAAAGATTGAGGAAAGATGTACACGTTCGTAAGTGCTTGCGTAAGTGCTTCGTGAATCTTACCCCGGAAAATTTGATGATTGACAAGACCTGTATCCAAAACAGTGTTACAACAATTATGTTATATATATTTTTCTGTAAGAAAAATACCATTTGATTCACGTTCTGTGGTTGATTATTAATTAACGCTCTCTGTACTGTATTCTTGGCGCTTGTAAGTGTAATTACCTAAGTGTAGTTACAAGATGAGAGCTACGCTCGAGGTGTCCCGTCTTCCCAGCACTCTTTGTCATATAACGCTTTGAAACTACTGACGGTCTTGGCCTCCACCACCTTCTCACCTAACTTGTTCCAACCGCCTACCACTCTGTTTGCAAAAGAAAATTTTATAATATTTTTTTTCCACCACCTCTGTTTTCTTAGCTTGAATATGTGTCTTCTTGTTCGTGAAGTTGCTGGTTTCAGGAATTCATCTTTGTTAATTTGGTAGATTCCTGTTAGTATTTTGTAAGTGGTGATCATATCACCTCTCTTCTAGCTTTTAGTTTTGGCATGTTAACGTCTCTAGTCTCTCCTCGTAACTTTTGTTTTTCAGTTCCGGGAGCCATGTTGTAGCTTGTCTTTGCACCTTTTCCAATTTATTTATGTGCTTCTTGATATATGGGCACCATACAACTGCTGCATATTCCAATTTTCGTCTCACATACGTCATGAACAGTTTCTTTAGTACTTCACCAGCCATATAATTAGAACCAAATCACGATCGACTTGAGAATGGTCCAGGACGGACCGAAACGTCGTCGTCCCTTCACCTTCTAGTGTGTGGTCTGGTCAACATACTTCAACCACGTTATTGTGACTCCTCGTCTGCAATTAAAAGCAAGTCTGAAGTTGGAAAGCGACGCATCCGCTCCTCTGCGCCCTAGCTTCACCCAGCGGAAAGGTTCTCACAACGATGGAACTACCTCGTTAAAAAGGGGTCATAAGGATGATCCGTTGAGGTCATGAGTTCAAGGTCAGGCGGTGAGATCGTGGGCTCAGATTTAAGCATTGAGATCGTGGGCTCAGGTTTTACGCTGTGAGATCGTGGGCTCAGATTACAGCATTGAGATCATCGTAGGCTCAGATTTAAGCATTGAGATCAAGTAGAAGCGTTGGATCTTGCAGGAGAGCGTTGAAGATAGACAGAAAGATCAACTCTCCACTACTCCGGTGTCCAAAAAAATGAGCACAAATGCTTCGTGTGGAAAAAGTTAAACTATTCATATCACATTGGGCAAAGCTTCTTTCGCCCTGAATGCCCCTGTTACCTAGCAGTAAATAGGTACCTGGGAGTTAGTCAGCTGTCACGGGCTGCTTCCTGGGGGTGGAGGCCTGGTCTAGGACCGGGCCGCGGGGACACTAAAGCCCCGAAATCATCTCAAGATAACCTCAAGATAACATTGAGGAAGTATGTAATTGTAAACATTTTATTTATACATTTAAACTGCACTTTGGTCAGAAGTCACCACGAGTTGAAAAACATTTTTTTTTTACAGAAAAAAATATATTATCTGGAACTTTAAAAAAAAATATATATTATGGTTTAATAAAACTATTTATTATTTTAAATTTTCTCCTATTTAATTACTGCTCGTTTTTTGGTAAAAAATAATTTATTACGTGATTCTAAAATACTTTTTTGTTTTCAGATCCATGTCACGGATGCCATCGTATGCCTAATCTAAGGTAAGATGATCTTGCAGCCTGTTGTTGTTGGTAATTTGTGTGTCGTAACATTCAAGACTGCACTGCAGTATGTGTACTTCTCTTATGGATAGGTAGGGGATAATCCCTGGGTAGATAATCCCTTGGATAATCCCTGGGATAATCACTCGAGTACACCTCACTCTAGAACAGGTGTGGGCTACTCTCCCTGGGACAGGTGTGGGCAACTCTACCACAACCAACACTACACCACTTGCAGGTGTGTTTAAAAGAGTAGTGATGACGTAGAAGACCTCTCTTAAGATTTCTTATCTTTCTCAGATTTCAGTCCCTATTCGTGTTATCACTGATTTTCACCTCAGTTGCTAAGCCGTTATCTTTGTTATCTTTTCTCGTAATTTATCTTTGTTATCTTTTCTCGTAATTTATCTCCGTGGGTGTTTTTCTACCGTCATGAAGGAGACAGCAAAATTAATTAGCCACTAATCCGCTTGTCAACCCCCCCCCCCTCTTGTTCAGCACGACGTTCTTGCTGTTAAGGAGAGCAGTGATATCCGAAAGATATTGAAGTTACTCCTGGCTATCTTGGTCACTGGAAGAGGATATCATTTTGACATAAAAATAGCCCATGTAACTGACGAGGGGTTGTGTAGGCGCTGTTAATGGTCTCCAACTTGGCTATAGTGAACCTATATTGACTATAGTGAGCCTATATTGACTACAGTGAGCTTGTATTGACTATAGTGAACCTATATTGACTATAGTGAGCTTGTATTGACTATAGTGAGCCTATATTGACTATAGTGAGCTTGTATTGACTATAGTGAGCCTATATTGACTATAGTGAGCCTATATTGACTATAGTGAGCTTGTATTGACTATAGTGAGCCTATATTGACTATAGTGAGCTTGTATTGACTATAGTGAGCTTGTATTGACTATAGTGAGCCTATATTGACTATAGTGAGCTTGTATTGACTATAGTGAGCCTATATTGACTATAGTGAGCCTATATTGACTTATAATGGGCTTGCGGAGTAGAAGAACTCCCAGAACCCTATCAAGCAGGTACAGCTCCGTACCCCCACAGCTCCGTTCACATCTCCACATCAGCCTCCACATCTCTCATCTCCCGCTTCAGCATCCTCCACCCTGGGGCTCGCCAAGAGCTTGATTTAATTCTTCTGTTGGGTGATAGAGGCAGGATAACAGAGTCACGTTGTTCTGAGAGCAGCTGAGCTATCATGATATATCACCACCAGGATACACAGCAGTGTATCCCAGGGCCTAGTGATGATAGTGATGAGCTCTGGACGGCCTTAGGGTTCTGGGGGGGTGGGGGAGGGTGTTTCCCTGTTGCTGGTTGGTTACTCTGGCCCCTCTTGACGACAATGGTGTGTGTGTGTGTGTGTGTGTGTGTGTGTGTGTGTGTGTGTGTGTGTGTGTGTATTGGGCAAGAGGGAACAGGGACGTGTGCGTGTGCACTCGTTCGTTCACTCACGCACTCACTCACTCACTTATTCACATGCACACACTCACTCACTCACACACACACCCTACCCTGTGATGCTCAGGAATCTGTACATCAATTAATTGAGAGGCGGGACCAAAGAGCCGAAGTTCAACCCCGACAATCACAATTAGGCGAGTACACACTCAAAGAATTGCCATTAGAGTTTAACTCGAGCAAGTGTAAAGTAATGCAGATTGGTGTAGGGAGCAGGAGGCCAGAGACAAGGTACCATTTGGGAGATAAAATACTTCAAGAACCAAGGAGAGAAAGAGATCTAGGGGGTTGATATCACGCCAGACCTGTTCCTTGAAGCCCACACCAAACGGTTAACTTCAGCGGCATGTGCAAGGTTGACCAACATAAGAACTGCCTTTAAAAACGTATGTAAGAAATCATTTAGAACCTTGTTGACCAAACCACACACTAGAAAGTGAAAGGTTTGAAGAAAGAAGAACTTTAACTTCTTCCCCTCATCACAATAGACTTGAGAATGGTCCAGGACGGACCGAAACGTCGTCGTCCCTTCACTTTCTAGTGTATAGTCTGGTCAACATATTTCAGCCACGTTATTGTGACTCCTCGTTTAAATTTAGAACCTTGCATACCACATATGTCAGACCAAATCCTAGAGTATACAGCGCCAGCATAGAATCCAAATCTAGGCCACTAATCCGATTCATTTTGATCCTGTCATAGTGCAAGTTTAAACACTAAGACTAGCCCCACCAAACGATTCAAATCAGCCACATTGTACAAAGGATACAAAGCCTTCCTTCAGATTAGAATATTACGAAAGCAATTCTGTCTCCCTCCTATCAAGGCAGGGAGAAAGACGTCTGTTTATTGCGCATATCTGTGCAACAGTTGTGCATCTCTACCCGGCAGACCCTTCGTGCTACAGCAACACTGGCACGAGAGCACGAGTGTACGGCAAGACTGTTGTTTACCATACAGTATAACCAACACGATCTACACTGCGTAGTTTCCGGGAGTTATGTATGGGAGAGACAATGGAGTCAGTGGCCGTGCCGAAGCTCACTCTCCAATAGATACGATCTAAAGCTTCTGAAATATGGAGTCGTTACTCTGGCTAGCATGTCCTCCACGGCCTGTAGAGGAGCCTGGTACTGTATCTTGTCCTCTAGCTGCTGTAGAGGACCCTGGTACTGTATCTTGTCCTCTAGGGGCTGTAGAGGACCCTGGTACTGTATCTTGTCCTCTAGGGGCTGTAGAGGACCCTGGTACTGTATCTTGTCCTCTAGCTGCTGTAGAGGAGGCTGGTACTGTATCTTGTCCTCTAGGGTCTGTAGAGGAGGCTGGTACTGTATCTTGTCCTCTAGCTGCTGTAGAGGACCCTGGTACTGTATCTTGTCCTCTAGGGCCTGTAGAGGACCCTGGTACTGTATCTTGTCCTCTAGGGCCTGTAGAGGAGGCTGGTACTGTATCTTGTCCTCCAGGGCCTGAACAGAGGCACCGGCCTCTATTCTTCCATTAAATAAGTTTAGTGACTTACCAACTTCTGGGAGATATGAAACGCCAGTTTCTTATCCCTGAGCCCCACCGGCAGAGGCATGGAGTGAGAAGGAAGTGAGGAAGAATATGAGGAAAGAGAATGAGAATAAAGTATAGAGGGATGTGAGAATATCGAGGAATGAGAAGAAAAGGCAGCAATAAAAATGGCTTTACTAGGAATAAAAGGAACGGTAGATAAAAATATATTAACCAAGGTCAGTGCCTAAATGAAGCTACACGTTTTCAGCTCTCAGAGATGTTATTGCAGTGTCATAAACCAAGTTCACATGTATGGATAACTTTATGTATTTTGGCGTGCAAAATTGGTTTGCTGTCACCCCCTGTTACGCTTGCTGTCACTCCTGACACGCCTGCTGTCACACCCTTTCACGCCTGCTGTCACCCCCTGTCACGCCTGCTGTCACCACCTGTCACGCCTGCTGTCACACCCTGTCACGCCTGATGTCACCCCCTGACACGCTTGCTGTCACCCCCTGTCACGCTTGCTGTCACGCTTGCTGTCACCCCCTGTCACGCTTGCTGTCACCCCTGTCACCCTTGCCGCCACCCCCTGACACGCTTGCTGTCACCCCCTGTCACGCTTGCTGTCACCCCTGTCACGCTTGCTGTCACCCCTGTCACGCTTGCTGTCACCCCTGTCACGCTTGCTGTTACCCCTGTCACGCTTGCTGTCACCCCTGTCACGCTTGCTGTTACCCCTGTCACGCTTGCTGTCACCCCTGTCACGCTTGCTGTCACCCCTGTCACGCTTGTCACCCTGTCACCCTTGCTGCCACCCCTGACACGCTTGCCGCCACCCCCTGACACGCTTGATGTCACCCCTGACACGCTTGCTGTCACCCCTGACACGCCTGCTGTCACCCCTGACACGCTTGCTGTCACCCCTGTCACGCTTGTCACCCTGTCACCCTTGCCGCCACCCCCTGACACGCTTGCTGTCACCCCTGACACGCTTGCTGTTACCCCTGACACGCTTGCTGTCACCCCCTGTCAAGCTTGCTGTCACCCCCTGACACGCTTGCTGTCACCCCTGACACGCTTGCTGTCACCCCTGACAGGCTTGCTGTCACCCCTGTCACGCTTGCTGTCACCCCTGTCACGCCTGCTGTCACCCCTGTCACGCTTGCTGTCACCCCTGACACGCTTGCTGTCACCCCTGACACGCTTGCTGTCACCCCTGACACGCTTGCTGTCACCCCTGACACGCTTGCTGTCACCCCTGTCACCCTTGCCGCCACCCCCTGACACGCTTGCTGTCACCCCCTGTCACGCTTGCTGTCACCCCTGTCACCCTTGCCGCCACCCCCTGACACGCTTGCTGTCACCCCCTGTCACGCTTGCTGTCACCCCTGTCACCCTTGCCGGCACCCCCTGACACGCTTGCTGTCACCCCCTGTCACGCTTGCTGTCACCCCTGTCACCCTTGCCGCCACCCCCTGACACGCTTGCCGCCACCCCCTGACACGCTTGCTGTCACCCCCTGTCACGCTTGCTGTCACCCCTGTCACCCTTGCCGCCACCCCCTGACACGCTTGCTGTCACCCCCTGTCACGCATGCTGTCACCCCTGTCACCCTTGCCGCCACCCCCCGACACGCTTGCTGTCACCCCCTGTCACGCTTGCTGTCACCCCTGTCACCCTTGCCGCCACCCCCTGACACGCTTGCTGTCACCCCCTGTCACGCTTGCTGTCACCCCTGTCACCCTTGCCGCCACCCCCTGACACGCTTGCTGTCACCCCCTGACACGCTTGCCGCCACCCCCTGACACGCTTGCTGTCACCCCCTGTCACGCTTGCTGTCACCCCTGTCATACAACCGCACACCCACCAACAAACCCATCCATACAACCACAAAAAGATAAATCCCCTTCACACTCCTACACTATGGTTGACGAACGACTGGAAGGATAAAATAGGTTGCATAGACATGCATGCCTCCTCTCAGGTGTTTGTCGTGTAAACAAACGTCGCAGGTGTTTACCCACGAAGCTGCGAATGTCTCATCTTCCCCGTCAGTTGATGCACAGACAACACATGTCTTGTGCGGTCCATGTCTTTGCTTTTAACCCAACATTTTTACGCTGCCAATGTAGAGTTCTGTGAGGCAGTTGATTGGTACGAGGCAAGGATTGGAGAGTGGATGTGCTCCAGGCTGAGTTAGTGGATTGGGAAGAGGGTTTTAGACTTGGGGTTAGCTTTGTAGGGAGAATGGTCCAAAGATTACGGGCTCGCCATAGCCCGTGCTACTTGGAACTTTTTGTTCCAGGTAGATTAAACAACAACAAAATGGTCCAGGATGGACCGAAACGTCGTCGTCCCTTTACTTTCTAGTGTGTGGTTTTGGTCAACTTTGTAAGGCATTGGAAAACATATAACCAAATACATTATAATCTACAGTGAGGTTATATATATATATATATATATAAATTACTATCTCAAATATGTTTAAAAGACTACCCAGTTCTAACGATTAATTTGTTCTATGTATATGCTGTTATTTCGTGTATTGCAACAAGTCAATGTATATATATGCAGTTGTGGCGTTTAGGTATTCATAGATGTGTGTATAGCTTGTCTAGTTACACTCAAATGCGGCGCTCTTCCTGTGATTTGACTTGTAAGTTATCCAAAATTCTGTATGGCTGCTGTTGGCTGTTTTTGCTGTCTCTGTGGCTCCAAGGAGATGTTTATGTCTGTAGCTCCAAGGAGATGTTTATGTCTGTAGCTCCAAGGAGATGTTTATCTCTGTAGCTCCAAGGAGATGTGTATCTCTGTAGCTCCAAGGAGATGTATATCTCTGTAGCTCCAAGGAGATGTATATCTCTGTAGCTCCAAGGAGATGTTTATCTCTGTAGCTCCAAGGAGATGTTTATCTCTGTAGCTCCAAGGAGATGTTTATCTCTATGTCTTCGAGGAGATGTATATCTCTGTAGCTCCAAGATGTTTATCTCTGTAGCTCCAAGGAGATGTTTATCTCTGTAGCTCCAAGGAGATGTTTATCTCTGTGGCTCCAAGGAGATGTATATCACTGTAGCTCCAAGGAGATGTATATCTCTGTAGCTCCAAGGAGATGTTTATCTCTGTGGCTCCAAGGAGATGTTTATCTCTGTGGCTCCAAGGAGATGTATATCTCTGTAGCTCCAAGGAGATGTATATCTCTGTAGCTCCAAGGAGATGTATATCTCTGTAGCTCCAAGCAGATGTGTATCTCTGTAGCTCCAAGGAGATGTTTATCTCTGTAGCTCCAAGGAGATGTTTATCTCTGTAGCTCCAAGGAGATGTTTATCTCTGTAGCTCCAAGGAGATGTTTATCTCTATGTCTTCGAGGAGATGTTTATGTAAGAATGCCTTCAACACCTTGATTAATGCTTTGTGTAGGTGGGATAAAGTACGTGATCAATATTAATGATGTAATCTTTCCCCTTTTAGATTAATCTAAACTGGTCTCTAGGGGGGAAAGATTAATTTAAATTGATCGTGGAAGTTGTAAGATGGGGAGTATTATTATCAGGGGGGAAAGTGGTGAGCCAGTATGACCTATCCCGCCTGGGATAGCATGCCGGGATAAATGTTGGGATAGAAGGATAAAGTGAAAGAACGCAGCCCACTCCACTTTCACCATTGGCCCCCCCCCCCCGGATGCCAGCCCTGTGAGTAACGAGGCCCTCACAGTAACGACCAATCCAAGTGATTGTATAATTATTGAGTTTATTTTCTTCTCTCTCTCTCTCTCTGCCGTGCTGGGCTGCTCCCCCTCTCCCCTTCCCCCCCTCTCTTTCCAGCAGGAGGGCTTTCCACCCCCCCCCTTTCCAGCAAGAGGGGGCTTTCACCCCCCCTTTCCAGCATGAGGGGCTTCCACCCCCCCTTTCCAGCAGGAAGGGGCTTCCACCCCCCCCCTTTCCAGCAGGAAGGGGCTTCCTCCACCCCCCTTTCCAGCAGGAAGGGGCTTCCACACCCCCTTTCCAGCAGGAAGAGCTTCCACCCTCCCTTTCCAGCAGGAGGGGCTTCCACTCCCCTTTCCAGCAGGAAGGGGCTTCCGCTCCCGCCCTTTTCCAGCAGGAAGGGGCTTCCGCTCCCGCCCTTTTCCAGCAGGAAGGGGCTTCCATCCCCCCCTTTTCCAGCAGGAAGGCTTCTCCCTTCCCCTCAGAGTTACACAACCACCAACCACCATCACCTGAAAAGCCCCCGGCGCTGCCTAACTGTACTTAATGGCAATTCCTAGTCCAAGCAGACAAGTCTGCGGCGGCGTCGTGGCTTGTGGAGCAAGCAGCAATGGTCCTTGTGCACGCCCGGCCTTGGTCTTCAATTGGTGTATGGTGTCGTTGACGTCTCGGACCATCCCACGTGACGGACTAAGCCGTGACGAGTTCTCGAACCAATGGTCCCGCCACCTCTAAAATAAGATTATTTTTCCTACCCAGATCTAGCTACGAGTCTGGCTCGGGCCGGATTCACGAAGCAGTTACGCAGGTACTTACGAACATGTACATCTTTTTCTCAATCTTTGGCGGCTTTGTTTACAATTATTAGACAATTAATGAGCTCCGAAGCACCAGGAGGCTGTTTATAACAATAACAACAGTTGATTGGCAAGTTTTCATGCTTGTAAACTGTTTAATAAATGTAAACAAAGCCGTCGAAGATTGAGAAAAGATGTACAGGTTCGTAAGTACTTGCGTAACTGCTTCGTGAATCTGGCTCCAGGTCTCCCGGGCCCCGCCTCGAATTATCCCTCGCTGACTCGTTTAATACTCGTTTCATACTCGCTGTTTCTCAGTCCGGACGGAACAATTCGGTCTAGAAACAGTCATAGGCAATTCGGTCTCATCGTGGTTACCATCTTGAGGTTATCTTGAGATGATTTCGGGGCTTTTTAGTGTCCCCGCGGCCCGGTCCTCGACCAGGCCTCCGCCCCCAGGAAGCAGCC